CTTAACCTTATATCATCCTCATTACTTTTAGTAGTAGTACTTTGCTTGATTGTAATGAGACTCCTGCGAAAGATTCGATAAAATTTCAGCTCAGAAAAAGTCGCGAAGCTTTACTTTCAACGACCAAGTTATTATCCTAAATGCCTCTTTTTTTTTCGCGCGAATTAAATGGCTCTCACAATGTGGAAGCTCGAATGTACGAGATATCCGTTCGAGCCTAAGCCAACTAAAAGCGAGCGGCGCGCCGACGTTTCCTCTATGCGAAAATCCGTACTCGCGCGTATCTACAGAGAGGTAAAAAGAGAGAGAGAGAGAGAGAGAGAGAGAGAGAGAGAGAGAGAGAGAGAGGTAGTCGCGAAAGTAGAATCTCGCCGGCCGAAAGCCCGTCAGAAATCAAGTTTCCCGGCATAGGCGGGACTTTGTTTTCAAACATATTCCGTTCCTGCGATGGGGTAAAAAGCACCACAGGGGCTCCGATTTCACGAGGAAACCCCGTGCTGAATCCGGCGCGGGCGCCGAGGGCTGCTCACGCGTACGCACACGGCCAGAAACACGGCGCATCACGCGCGTTGCCGCTGGTAACTCAATCCGAGGAGTTTCGGCGAAAAGTGTTGTATTACTGGTGTGCTATTTCTCTGATCCCAGATCATCTTCATTCGCGCGGAATTTCGAAACGGCGCAAAATTCGCAGCCCCCAGCCCATGGCACCATCGATCCAGCCCGCGCTCAGTTCGGACGCGCACGGTGGTTCTCGCGCGTGCAGAACGCGAATGGCTCCTCTTTAACGCCGAAATTCCTCGCCCAAACTTTTTTCCATAAACCTTACTAACGCGTTACGTCGTTATCTTATGCAATTACGATAGATATTCGTCATGGAATGTTGGAAAATATGTATGCTCCCACGTGTCTTAATTAAAATACAATTTTCTTAGAAGAGTTTAGTTAGAGTTTAATAGAGTTTAGTGCACCCCACGTCTTAAATCCAGATTACCAAAGTTACTAAATGACCGCTGTTTCTCTGAATTTAGTGTTGAGCATCTGGTCTCGGAAACACAAATACTAACTTTGAAATTTAATACAAGTTATTACTATATTGATCAATCGATAGGTTCTCCTCGTGATTCGAGCGTGCAAAAGGACTTTCAAGATGAGCGATTCACAGTACGGATGCATGGAAAGGTCTCGAAACGTAGCTCGAAGCCTTCGCTACGAGAGAGCGTTGGAAAGAGCAAGATAGAAAGAGAGGGATCCATGAGAGAGAGAAAGAGAGAGGGAGAGAGTGAGAGAAACGTGCTTTCTCTCTCTCTCTCTCTCTCTCTCTCCATTCCTCCTACCCTCGTCTCCCTTCACTCCACCCCCGCCAATAGCCCTAGTCGTTTCCAGCAAGTACTTCTATGTACCAACCATCTCCTACACGCTACCCTTATATACGTTGTATATTTACCTCCGCGGCATGTACGCGCGCGAGCGCACGTCTGCCTATATACATACGTATGTACGTATGTACGTATGTATATACACCGGGGCCCGCGCGGTACATAGGTCCGAGCGCCACATAAAAAGCACATGGGGCAGGTATAGCTCCGGCTGAAAATTATTCCGAGTATTTTCGAATTAGCGCGTCGGAAGCGGAGGAAACGCGCCGTTCGGTCGGACGCGCGGCGAGCACAAGGTTCGCACGCGAAATGCACTTTTCGCAACGAGGCGCCGCGATGCAACGTCGTTCCTTGAACGCGCCCGAAACGGCTCTTCTCTTCTCATCTCCGAGCACTGAAATTCCACAGCGACGCGTTGTTGGCGACTGTACCGGCTTCCTCTCTCTCTCTCTCTCTCTCTCTCTCTCTCTCTCTCTCTCTCTCTCTCTCTCTCTCTCTCTCTTGTTCGCTCGCTCGCTCGCTCGCTCGCTCGCTCTCCCGCAGTATCGCACATACACATATATAACGTTTTCGAGCAGCTCCGGAGAATTTTCGGAGTCGCCATTGTTGCCAGAGTAGGTGGGCCGCGAGGCGGAATTATTCGCAGCAAGCGTGTTCGAGCGAGTTCACGAACGAACGAGTAACTAAGGTGGCTCGATTTTTAAATTGCAAAAACGCGCCGTCCACACATTTCAGATTCTGTCGCGGAAAAATAAGAGAGAGTCGCGGCACCAAACGTGCGATTCAGAATAGCATTTTGCATTTTGCCGACACAAATTAAGATTGCCATTTGCATCTCGATTAAAATGATTTTCTTTCCTTATACTAACGTCGGGAATCTAAAGAAATCCGCGATTCGATTTTCTAATTAAATTCGAGTCATAAGATTCGCTAACATTCGTATCGTAAGTATAAACGCGTGAATATAGTGTCTATAATGACTTTTGCATTAATCTCGATATTCATCGCCGCCATCAATTTCCTGCGTCGATGCGTTATTCGATTTGACCGCGAATTGAATCGCCGATTATCGATCGTAATCGACTAATGAATAATGCCAATGACACTGACGCTCGATGGATTTAATATTGTAGTTTGATTTATCAAACACCTCTAAATAAATCTCTTTAATAGCTTGAAAAAGAGTATATAAAATAATATTCAATAAAAATAATAACGATATAGTAACATTTTATCAGTCAATTTATATTCATTCAAATTTATATTGTTTAAATAACGACTTGCAATACAGCTATGTATATTACATGTTATACTTTATATAAGGTAGACCTGGTAGACCGATCTGCAGTCATAAAATTCTGTGACTACGCCATGGTAGTTGCCGGCTCGACTGTACGTCGAGGCTGGCGGTATCTTTTATCTCCTCCTTCAACTTGTGCGACCTTAGGAACCGCCATAGTCAGTTGCAAGAACAGAGAAGCAAGCGTGACAAATTACAATTACCGAAATTAACGTCACCTTCGGAACGTCATTGTCCGTTTTAAATTTTCCCAAGTTTTCTTTAGGTACAATTTTCTAATTTCAATTTGCCCTTTCTATTTGCTATTCCCTTTATTATAGGGGTTCATTTTTCATTCCTGCATTGAACTACACACTATAACTTTCTGTCTCGCTTTCATCAAATATCGGACATGTACCTATTTCACTTTAAGTTTCCAAAAGCGTACACTAATTTAGCTACAGGAAACAAACAGATCTTATATGTATATAATATGTCGTAAAAAAAAAAACTGCTTTATGGAGCGCATCGTTCTTTCGCGTTACAGCCATGTTCTCAAACATGTTCGAACAAGCTGCTTTCTCTCAGAATTTCTGAGTGACGTGCGTATGTACGTCGCTCCGTGATGATGCTCACTGGGATATAAGTTGCGTGAAGTTCCGCGGAAATCTTTCGTCCTAACCATCCCCGTCGCTCTACTGTAGAACGCTCGAGAAACCCTTGCTATGAGGCGGCATGATGAAATCGTATGACGCGAAAGTATCCTGGATGCGCGCAAGATTCGGTGAATATCACGAGTAGAAAATATTCTCCTATCTAATAGCTAGGTGAAAAAAATTCGAGAAGCATTCCTGCTGGATTCAAGTCTACTTTATGTAACTGAAAAACTCTGATAGACGCGGAGTGTCTTGCAACCGGATTTTTAATAGTGAATTCCGGATATTAAAGCTAAAATTCCTAATGATAGAGATAAAAGTACTAAATGTCGGGATGGCAATAATTTTCGGTTTACAAGCTATCAAAGTGGTTCCAATGATATCCCATAGAGTTCGCGTGTTCACGCAATTACGCGTACACGCGTATCGATCTGTTATCTATTATTGATTATCAGATATTGATTATTGAAGATAGTAACCTATATTCAATCGTTTTCTTAAAGTGCTCTTTTCTCATATGCGCTTATAAGCTTACTGTGACTAAATTATCGCCAAACACAATTACGTATAATAAAATTTCATATATTTGACTGCATATGAAAATCTATATTTATGTATTTCTTAAAGATACAGAGAACATCTCAGTTTTTTAATACAAACATAGATCTTGTTTTATGTTTCAAACGGTATAAAGTAAGTAAAAATTATTAGTAAATATGAATGGGCTATAATATAAATCAGATATTATTATAAATAAAAACAATTAATCCTATTTGGTCTAAAATTTCCTTAACTGATTCATGGATCCAGTATACTTTAAATTAATGTATCTTTGCTTAACATAATTGAACGTTTTTTTGAAGATGAAAATTATGCAATTCAGAAATTATATAAGTTTGTCAAAAATATTTAATATAAACAATTTTTCACAACGTAGCTGAAGAAATTCTCCATTAGATTCGCGAATACCAATTAAGGTTAATAATTATTAACAAGTTTACAATTAAATGGATTAATTGTTATGTAACTGTAAAATATTTTTTTATTTTATTTATTTTGCACACATTTTTGTTGCAATTCTCAAAAAAAACATCGTAAAGAAATTTAAATAAAAGCTTTGCTACTAAAAAATATTTTATTTGTAATTTTATTCTTTCCTGTATTTCCTACATTTTCATTATCCGAGTAAATATTTAAAAAAAAATTGTTATTTATTAATATTCTTAATATTAAAAAATTCCAAGATAACATTATCTAATTAATATCTTCATAATGTTCTTAAATATGTCACTTGAAGAAAATCTCACTTATCTAGAAGTTTAATAAAAAATGAAAAAGGATGATAAAATCTTTATCAGGCAAATCACTCCATCATCTATCACTTTTCACCAAACTTACTCTACTCTACCAGTGAAATATTATTTTATTCTGGCATTTAAATAAATAATAACATGGTATGTTCAAATATTTATATTGATCCATCTTAACCCATCCATGATATAACGGATCTATGAAAAATTTAATATTTACTTTTAATATTCTTACTCTCTCGATTCAATACGACGAATACGTCTATCACATTTTTTTTTTCATAGATTTGTTAGACGATATTTTAGATCTGTTAGATTTCACAGATATATTATATATATCATTACCTCGACATAAAATAAACAATATTTCATCACTCACCGACCGACACGCAGCGTCGAAGTTGGACTGGCATTGAACCACATTCATCTGTAAAACGCAAACGTAACCGAATTACAGCGCACACAAACAAAACAATCGGCACTAACTGCAAGACAATTATCACGCGCGCGAAATCAAATTCATAAACGATCGATTTCGGTGACAATACTTGAAATGACAAAAAAATTATTCATCTGCGGTTGTTTCAACATCGTCCGACATCTCCCTTTCTCTCTCAGATCTCTTCTTTCTCTAAGCTTTCCTTCAATTCCTTCTCAAGCTTTCTCCTCGTCGCACTCGCAACATCACTCACGAAAGTACGACTAATTACGAGCACGTGGCATTTTGTATACGATACTCCTTATTTTACCTTGTACCGTGATATTCACAATAGAGGCATAACACGAACGATTGACGTCAAATTCGATACCAATCGATTGATGGATACAACATAAGGTTAATTTATGACCGAGTTTATTAATTAAATCACGCTATGACTCGTAACTGATGTCTTTTATGGCGTCACTGTGACGATAACAGTCCGTTAAACAGTCTCGCCAACTTGGTACAACGTAAGTCAAGTTAACGGCGTCCAAATGTATCGGACACCGACGAAACGTATCGGAAATGTACAATCGAGACTCAATGTCCGAAGATGCATTTCGGACGTGAGAACTTTGAGACACGGACACACGATAAATAAATCGGTAGATCTTTCCGTTGCTTTCCCGACGCTCTCGACGTTTCGATGCTGTTCTACTACTGTGTTTCGAACAAGCAGATCGTGCGAAATGCCTGTTACGTCGCGACGGAAGAGCGACACAAAGAAAGTACGCGCGAACAGAAACTGTTCGCGATCAACTTGATATCCAACAACGTCGAATTTCCACGTCCTGATTGATAGATATCGCGACATGAGATTAATTTGCGCCCGAATTTACTGACTAAATCACGCCGCGACTCGGAGTCAATGTGTTCTATGCGACGTTCCGTTGAAATAGCAACCTATTTTGAAAAGGTACCGTACTATCGCGTAAATTAAATTAACGAAAATGTATAATTTACATCGTCGATTCTTATATCGATATAAAATCGTTTCAAATACAGTTTGCGTAATTAGTGCCTTCCAACTTCCAATTCTGTTTTAGCATTGCGTGTTATCTTCTTGATTATTTTTACGTTCATGGCCATAGTCGAAATTGCCGGAAATATGCGAGTTTCTCCAATCTCTATAGGCTGTCCGTCTATATACTTATAGTGCAGCTGGAGCATTCATACGAGAGAAGTTGAAAACTTGATAGAAAGAGAGAAAAATAGTCATGGAATAGTTCTCTTCTTTTCTAGCAGTGCGATTGGTGGGTATAAGTTTTTATGTCGACTAGGACTATAAACACTATGACTCACCAATAGACGGATGTCATAGGATTGGAAGGCGCAATTAATTGCGCGAATTATACAATCTTAAGATGTAACTAATCAGAGGGTTGCATTAGCATCTTAAGACATTACTTAAAACGCTCTTAAAATAAGAATGGATTGTAAATATCGGCCAGTGATTCTTATATTTGAGACTGTCTTAAGTATAATCTTAAAATGCTATGAGCTAATCAGAGGGCTATATTAGCATCTTAAGACATTACTTGTAATTACTTAAGACAGTTTTAAAATAAGAACGGACTATGAATATTTTAATGGCATATACGCGTAACATATTTTAGACGAGAAGTCTCGCAAAATTCACGTACAAATAACTAATAAATAATATATCAATAAATAGTCGTTAAATCTCGCCTTTCCGTTACTTTTTTCCGAAGCTCTTGTATTATATCGAGGCTTCTGTGCATTTACTCTAACAAATAAACCTCGCGCGAGATATACTTTCTGGAACATCTGCAAAATGTCGTATTATAAATAATAGGCCTATTCTTTTTAGCTCAATTTCTTGCACGTTTCTTTAGATCTGTTTCTGTAGTTGAACTAGCATACACTTTTGTGATACTGACAACTTAAAATGAAATAAATATATATTTGATATTTGGTGAGAGCAAGAAAGAGAAAGTTCTAGTGCAGGAACAAAAAATCGACCTTATTTCTTTTCACATTGGAGAGAAAAAGAGAAAATACGGATTGTGCAAGAAGTTCATCTAAAGAAAACAGATCTATTAATACAATATTGTATAAATCGCGACTTGTTGTTATCGCGCGTCGAAGGAGAATTACACGGAGTTACATGCCGCGCCGACCGACTGACCGAAGCAAGTCTCGCCATACGAATGTAAACAAGACAAAAACAACGACCGACCCTGGGTCGCCCGAACACTTTATATACTCACCAATCGCGTCGTTACCATTCGAAATTCGACGTTGTGAAATAATCTCACACGTTTTACCTGTCGGCTTGAGTCTCGTCGCGAGAATGCGAGACTAGCGAGGTATACATGTATGTATGTGCGTGCGTGTGTGTGTGTATCATGTACATACATGTTACTACGCGTATGTGATATAGCGTGCGATTGTACGAAAAACAAGTCGAAAGAGCGATACAAAAATCAGTCTACCGCCAGCGTTGAAAGATATTGTAGCAAAATACGTCGCGGGTGCCAAATTGATAGCGAGCGAGTGGTTATTCGCGCGCGACAAGAATGCATTCGGAAGCTCTTGTCGCGACCGCGTTTCGAGAGATAATAACACCGCGACGCAATGAGGCACGCGCCTCCGTCGCCTACGCACTTGAACCACGCCGCGTCAACGACACAAAGGTAATGACGTAAACACAACGCCGCGCCGCGTTGTGCTCTGGCAATAGTCTTGCTAAAGTTGCGAGAGTGGAAGCACCGAGTATTATCGCAGACGAAATATTTGGCGCATTAAAAAGTAAATCGAACGTTCTGTTCCTCGCGTTTCGAAGTGAAATGGATGTACAATCTTGTAAACTAACTACGTTTATCCGATAAATAAAATGTATCTTGGCTTTCATTGAGAAAGTATTTATAAATTACTTTATTTGTTTATATTGTTACTCGTTTTCGAGAGGTATAATATCGATAAATCTATATAATACATATAATGTGACAATTTAATTTTGTTCTCGTAGTTTATTAAACTCGCACGATTTGACTCTTCTTGAAATGTAAGAAATTGGATAAGAAGGATTAATAATTTTTATTATTCCAGAATCAGATTCTGGATATAAATATTTTTCCGATTGAAACGAAAATAGAAACCTCGTTCTTTAATTGAATATTAATTTAAGAATTTTTTCATGAATTTTTTAAATATATTTCTGATTGAAACGAAAATAGCAATCGTTCTTTAGATAAATATTAATTCATTCTTTCAAATTAGAATTACTCAGCTGTTTAAATTTGTGAAATATGTAGGAAGAAATAGTTTACATACAATAGTTACAATTCGCAATTAATAAATGATGAATATTATTGTAACGAACGTAATATATGTGATAAAAAAATCAATCGAGAAATAAAGTTAAGTAATTAATAAGTAAATTAATAAGTAATTAATAAGTTAATTGATAAATGACAGATTGGTACGCGTATATACATAATCATGTTTTACATCATATAATTTTAATTATATATAAATGAATAATTGTTGTATAGTATATTATAAAATCGCAATTTTATTATATAAAAGAAAATAATAATATTGTTGTATAGAAAATTCCGATGTCCTTAGAATCTTTTATCTACTTAAATCTTCGCGATCAATTTTTTAAGTATTGTGATTGGAAAAAAATTATCTGCGTAATAATCAAATTCGCAAATATTTTATAAAATGAAAAATCATGAACGAACTAACAATATCGGTAAACAGTTTCATTACAACTTGCATTTTTCTATAAACAATTTATATTTAAGTGCGTTGAAGTATAGCATTACGAGATGGTACGAAAATGTAATAATCTAAGTTTCCTTAAGTAATAATGTATCCCGAGATGAATCATTCAGCGGCTTACAGCACAAAAATCTACCATTTATAAAAATTATGCACTTACACTCGGTACGCCCTTGCAACGTTTTCGCGGATATAACTTTTTTCTCGGTTTTTTTCAGCTAGTCGCAACTTTTTCATAAGATAGACGGAAATGCGCGTGCTACAATTATGAGAATTAGCAATGCATTTTAACAATGTAATTTTTTATGCGATAGAAGATTTCAGGGAAATAAACCCCGCTGCAAAGGAAGCTATTAAATGTACTCAGCCTTTTGGAGAATAATCGATCATTAGAATGACTTTCATTGATCCTTTTTTATTTTTATTAATTTTTGTTTCTAATCCGGTGCAACGTTATTAAATTTTTTTACGTGAATTAGGATTTAATTCAACTAGATGAGATATAACATTTGCAACAAATCGCATTTCTTCTTACATCTTTCACGTAGAAAATAATTTTTATGACGATATGATTGCGTTTATAGTTTTTTAAGTGCTCGCAGATACGGTTAAAAGAAACAAATAAAGCGAAAAATGTAGTGAAGACTCTCTCTCGAATGTAATATCGATCGAAATAAACTCAGAACTTTTATCGGATATGAAAAAGATCATGTTGAAAAATAATGTATAACATTGGTTGCAAATTATATTTCATGTTATGTTTCCAATATGTCTCGTTTGAAAAGCAGCGTGAGAGGGTTTGTGTGTTGTTGTTGAAGGATTCCTTCTCTCAGTGACAATTGTGACAAATATAGCAACATAATTGAGTGTAATTTAAAAATCAAAAACTCGTCCTCAGAATGGCGAAAAAATAAAGTAAGAGAGAGGTTCCTCTTTTTATTTTGTCTTTTCTTCTTTTTTAACGAGACCGTCAACGGATAAATGTTTGTTATGGAAGTGCAACGAATGATTCTGACAACTCACGGAAGGAAATAAATCTAACTTAGTTCGCTTCGGTCGTTTTATCGAATCGTAAAGACTCCCAGAGCTGCAACATTTTACGTAACTATTTCGCCGTCACTCACTTTTTTCTGTCACATTGCAGTTGTCTTTCGCAGTCGCTGTAAGACACGTTTGTCTACTCGTTGATCGCA